ATTACATTTTCATCACAAATCCCGATCTAGCCAGCCATAATATTTTATTTATTATTTGAAATCACATCTTATCGTTATCTTGTCTCTGTTTACCACGTAAGTAAGTTATAACCACCTGCACAGGCATAGAAAACGATGGACAGATTGACAGTTTCAAATCGTAAGCACAAAGCATTCCTTCACACGGCAGCAAAATGGAGACTTTGTTCTACTCAGTTGTTCGGAAAGCGCATGACAAATCCTTTACAAAAGCCATGACAAGAAAAGAAAGAAAAAAAAAAAAAAATAATTTTTATTGCCAAAAAAAAAAAAATTCTCCGTGCAAGGCTTGAGAGGATGTAAACCAATCGGGCAGTCGGTAGAAACCTCAAAAGGGCCCTGCTAAAATAAAATACTTTCATCGCCTGTGACGCGTCGCAGGGCGTTAATGGGAGAAGGGAGGGTGAAGCCAGACATATGTCGATGTCACTCAAGCGTCAGGGCTGCTGTTGACAGAGGCACGCTCTTCCAGTCCCGTTCGGGAGAAGTCCGTCTTCAGCAGCAGTGTGGGATCGATCAAAAAAACATTTGTTAAGTTTTTTTGAGAGTTGGAGGATAAATATTCTTCTCTCTCGATCTTTCCCTTTTGCTTCGTCTACCTGTTAAGAGGAACGAAAATACAGCATTTTGGAAAACTTCCTCAGATCATTTCGAGAACTGCTGCATAGCACTTGATGCTGTATAGCAAAGTCAAATATAGAACTGTAGCCTGAATATCGCTGGGACGAATACGGTTTTTGTGCTATGCGTATATCAGCATATACATTGGTAGAGATCGCCATCATTCTTACAAGCATTTATTTTGCATGTATGTACAACATAATTATACACCAAATATTTCTTTAAAGTTAATAAAAAAGCGCACATTAATATAATGATTATAAAAGGATATATATAATAGTTATAGACTGGTAAAAAATAAAGGTGCCTTCATCATGCTAAGACCTCCAATCACATAGCACAGTCAACAGTAGAACTAAAATGAAAATATCTAAGGTAACAAAAATAAACGTCATTGCTAATAAATTTCCAGATACCTCCTCCTCTCGAATTCTTATATTTTTGGAAAAGCCATATAAGATGGTTAAGAGTTTGAGGCTTGAAAAATAACTGACATTTCTTATCTGTCTTGATCAGACACTTTTAATTTATTACGTAACTTTACCTTCAAAAGTTTACTTGTATATATATTAAACAATATAAACATGATCTTTATCAATAAAATATTTACCATGAACAGTGATATATTATTTATAGTTTGTCAATTACGAAACATTCTGAATTTAGTTCTAAGAAATTACTCTGCGCACTTTTCTTTCTAGTTGGTTATTTTATCAAAACAATGTAACTAATAATAGCTTTTCTAAAACGTTTTCGATATCGTCATTTTATGAAAAAATACGACTAATAACTGGCTTTGTTAAAATTTTGTGAAAGCATCATTGGTTTCGTGAACATTCACGTTTCTAGTTATTTTATCAAAATAAGGTAACTAATAATTGCTTTTGTAAAAACTTTTGCGAAACCATCATTATTTTCGTGAACATTCATATTTCTAATTACTTTATGAAAGTAATATGATTTTTAATTGCTTTTGTAAAAATTCTGTAAAAGCATCATTTATTCCCCGAACACTTAAAATAAATTTTTTTATAATTAAGAAAGCTGACTTTAGTTATGAAGCCAGCTCTTCAAAAGCTAAGAATTTCCATACTTTGACGGAAACAAAGACATTGTTCATCAGTGTTTTTTGTCAATGAAATCTGTTCTTCGTAATTATAAAGTTAACTACTTAAAATACAAGAATTTCTAAACTTTAATTGTGAAGTCAGAATTTCTCCATCGAATTTCTCTATTTTGGAACCGAATGTTACATTTTATTCTATTGTTCCCTGTCAAAATGCAATTTAGCCGTCATTCTGAACTCCAGCATGCACTGCTGCAACAATCTGGTTCAATTATTGGGTTGTTCAATACTGATTTCGGCTAAAACGAGTAAAGTGACAATACATTCTTTAATTGTAAGAATACAAGCATGTCTATCCAGATGGATGTAGCGTTCTTAGTTTAACAGGAAGCTTTTGGGAGGCTGCAGCAAAACATTCTTTAGTACAGTAGATCTATTCATGAACAGCACATCGCAGTTCCTTGTTGCTGGTGAATGACAACCATGCAAGTTCTTTATTTTAAGGATTATCGGAAAGTACATACGATGCAACAATTCCAGGCATGTTATCACACGTCGTTTGTACTCCCTGAAGTCAGTATGCCTCTGGGGCATCCATTGAACAGAAATTTTACACATTTTCAAATCTTCATGTACAGCCGTGTGTATCGTTCCCCTGCCAGTACCTATTTTGCGATGTAGCTCATTGAAGATGCGCTTCAATTTGTCACTATTAAGTTGTATACCTGCTGTGCTGCAGCTCGTGTACGCCTCACTACTGATCTACTATTGCTCATTCGTTTCACTACACTTTCATTCGTCATTCTCGACTTCCTAATATAATTAAACAAAGCTTCGCACAGAAGCTTTTTCACCACTCACAGACACTAGCTGCTCGTAAACTTAAACTGCAGATTGTTTCTCAATAAATAAATAAAATAAAACTAAAATCAAAATTAAAATTACCTAAAAACAAACAAAACAAATAGTTTTGTTATTTTATGCAATTAAAAAAACACACTTGGTTAATGTGAGAATGGAAATTTCTGACACCACGCAGTTCATCAGCATAGACACTATCGTAACATTAATCGCAATCGCAGAACTACACGTGCATATAAATACCCGCCAAACAGGTTTTCTCTCTCTTTGCTGACTACGTCTCGAACGAGTATGAGGGGCTGCGGCCCTTGCATATCACACACTCATGGAATGATGCCTTTCTTTTTGATGATGAAGAAGGAGCGAAGCAGCATGAGAATTGCACAAATTATCCTGAAAGATTATGTTGAAATTTAATCTAGCTATGAAATAATTATGCTAAAATTTAACCCGTCTTTAAATAACTTGTTAATGTGCGTTTCGCATTAGTAGCATCAAGAAATTGCTACTATTGTCATCGGCTCGTCGCCTCGTGGTCATTACTTGACCTTGTGCTGACCAGAAGAATGTGTGTAAAAAAAGGAATGATCTAAGCGAAGCAACATCTGCAATGTATGTAGATAACGTTGAAATAATTTCAGTACGAAAAGTGAAATAAGATATAAATTTTGCTTTCGACGCTTTTTTTACTAGATGGCGTGGTTCTTGTGTTTTTTGTGTGCTATGTTATCAATTTGATATATTTAATCCAGATGTTTAAGTAATTTAATAAAGTGAGATTGAGAAAAGAAATGTGTCTCCGCAAGTCTCATGCATATGTGTTTGAGGGTAAATGAAGTAATTTTATGATTCTCTATTTTAGGGTTACAACGCACTGTACGACATATCTTTTTACAAGCCAGTAAATATTGGGCACATATAACTTTGGTTTGATACTTGATAGTATTTAGTTAAATAGGGATTTACACACAACACCACAGTTAGTATTTTATTTACATTTTTATAAACTGATGAGAAAATTAATATACCTAAATACATTAAGATGCTAAATTTTAAATTCCTTATTGTGTATGAATTTAAATAAATTTATATTTTTAGTTCCATTAAAAACTTAAAGAAACTTGATTTAAACATTATACCTAGTATTAAAAATATACATTAAAATCATTTATCATTCTTTCCGTTTGTACTCAAAAAATAGTTAATTTAGTTTCATTTCTAGTCGTGATATCCCGCTATCTTCGTAGAATAGTTCGGCTCATTTAAATCAGTCTTGTTTCAAAAGCGAAACGCATTTTCCTTCCTCATTTTGTTAAATATTATTTCAAAAATGCAAAGTCATTTTATATATGAAGCTGTTCTATATTCATTAAATACACATGCCTATCTCATGGTAAATAATTACTTTTTTGTTTCCTTATGTCTAGTTAATTTTATTTATAAATAAAGCATATTCTTTTTTTGGAATGGATTGAAATTCCTTTGCAAGAAGTATTCCTAATCCTAACCAGATTTGTTAATAAGGAGAAAAATACGCATTTCCTCATTGCTATAAATATCAGATTAGAACTGAATATAGTTCTTAATTTTTGTTAGTTACTAGAAATAACTTATTATACAATACATTAAACACTTCACATTATTATTTCATTCGAAATAACTAAGCAGCAAATTTGATTATTAGCCACTTAAATTAATATTTATTTTTAATACAAGAATCTTTGTTCATAATGTTTGCATTTTTAGTTCTGTATATTGTGAAATTATCTTGAATATTATTTGCATACTTATTAACATTCGCATACCCATAACAGTATGACATTTATCTAAATTAAAATTAATTTTACATACCGCAATTTCTCGCATATTTTCTCCCTCTAGCCTTTCAGCGTTTGGATCTGAAAATTCTAAAATATTCGCGCAATTTTCTGCTAGTTTACTTCAAGAAACAACCCACCACAGTGAAGCAAGCAAACACGAACTGACATTCAGGCTACGATTTCGCTTAATCATTTGCCTTCTCTGAGTATTTACGGATGTAGCCTAAGGAAAAGCAGATACAACTATAAGAATAGGCGATATTCATTTTACAAGAAAGCAGAAGTAAAGATATCTGAACATACTTTAATGTTAATGTAACTGTGTATTCTTATTGGAATGCAGGATTCTTTTGAAGAAATAAAGTACTAGGTATCGATAGTTTACCCATGATTACTTTTACATTTGTTATGCCCTCACTCACGATGAGAGGATAAAACTAGTTTTTAAAAAAAATACGTATGCAAATACGGTATTAATCTGCACCAGAATTTCACGCTTTTTGTTCCAACACATTATACACGATTTTCCTATTCATGTGAATATGGTAACGCATTTATAATGTGCTTTAAATAAAATATAAATTGACAAAAAGTTTTTACAAATAAAAGAATTTTTTTATTATTTCTAGAAAAAAAAATATTTACACATAAACTGCAATGCTGCTTACAACGTGACCAGAAAAATTCAATGAAGAGCAATAATTTTCATATTTGTATGTATAATATGTGCAATAAGATTTATATTTACAATTACACACTTCTATGCTATGTTAACAGTGTTCAGGTTATACATCTATAGCAAAATGAACATAACAATGCACGAAGACTGCAATTAACTGATTGAATCATTGAATATACTACCTATCAATAAATAAACAGAAATATCTTTAAACTATTAATGAATGCAAAACAGATGAACGTTCATTTAAAACTGTAAAAAATTTCATAACAGTTCAACAATTCATTATCTTACTGATGAAAAATAAGCCTACCAGCACATGATAATGAAAGTAAAATAAATGATCAAGAGTTGGAAGAATGTAATAATTAGTTAAATTTTTTATCTTTGAAATGCTTTTAAATAAATAAAATGCACATAATTTTATAAAAGTGTTTTCATACATGAGGTAATAAAAATATTCTCATTAAAAACTCATTTCATCTAGTTCCCTTTCTTGGAAAGGAGGGATATAAACAATTTCGTAATTTGACGATTAAATTGATATATTTAGCAGAACTGATTTTTTAGCTAATAAATACATTTTTATTCGGAATTTCACAAAGTGACTAACAAAAACAAAATGTCTTTATACATTTTGCGAATGGTGAAATAAACAAAAACAAAATGTCTTTATACATTTTGCGAATGGTGAAATAAACAATATTATTCTTATAACTAATTTCTTCATACTGCTCTGTAACAGAGAGAAAATTAATTTAAAAAAGAACAGACAGAGAAAGTGAGAGATTATAAGAGGAAGACATGACATTTTTTCCTCGGTTTAGAAAATTTGTATTTAACGGGGCCTCTCAAAATAGAGAGAAAAAAGAAGAAATTATGTTAAGATTCATAATTTAAAAATTATAGAAAAGCCTACTGAAATTTAAAATAATTTACCTGAAATAACTGTAAGCAATTACAAATGGAACAAAAATTTTCCAAAACCTGAAAACTTTGAAGCATTTCCTTTGGTGTGTGATGGAAGGGAGAATCATTTGAGTTCAGAGTAGTAATTTTTTCATTGAAAATTATGCTTGAAGTCATGTTCTAACACCATATAACTATTATAGCATGGTTTAAGAACCTTAAAATTTAATATTTATACTCTAATTTCACAAGATTATTCCATAATTTAGATAAAAGTATTGAAAAGAAAAATAGGATGTACATTGATACATACGAGTACTTTTTTGTTCAGTTGAAATGTTTACAGTTTGACTAATGAAATTTTGTTTGAAACAAAAAGGAAATGGTATAAATGTGTGTGCATATTTAGCTGATGATAGTCATATTACTACACCAAGAATTTAGCAAAAGCTCCAATAAATAAAAATTAAAAAATATTTTTCGAAAGAAAATTGCTATACAAATTCTCTTCAAATAAATTAATCTACTAATTATTTAAAATTTAGTCATAGACATTTAACAATACAATAATTTTACGTAGAATACTTAAAATTAATTTTAACAGGAACAACCACATATTTTTTTTTTTTTTTTTCTTTCAAATTTTACTTAAAATATTGTAAGCACTAACTGAAACAACAAACATAGACTAACCATGGCATTGCCCTAAACAGGTTAAATTAATAAACAAATAAATGTTCTGGCAACAAGATGAAATGAATGACATGAAGAGAAAGAATAATGAAATACATAATATTGTATGTGCAACTATTTCTGATGATTTAACACAAAAAAAAACATGAGTTCTACATGGCACATAAATAAAAGTTAAACAGCAAAGTTATTATCCAGCTGTAAAACAAATGTAATCTCTGTCACACACATTGCTTTAGATTTTTGTAAAGAAGTGTAAAGGAGATATGCAAATGCAATTCTGTACATATTGCTATAGGATACATTTCCTGATCCATGGTTAAATTAGATTCATTTAAGTCTAAATCTAATTTAAGCCTACGTAGAAGGTACTGGATATTTAATAAGAATTTATAATAACGGCAAAATATTCTTATCCAAGAATTAATCATGTAACTGTTTCAAGTTATAATATCTAATAAAAATATAAAAAATACAATTATTCATTGCTAATCAATATACCAATCCATACCTTTTTGAGCATGGATTATATTAATTTTTTTTAATCTGTTCAGTTAGTTAATGAAATTAGTATTGCGATAAGTATCATAAGGCTTTTATTACGTCAAACTCAATGCTCTGTTCCTTTATTATAACTATTAAAAGTAAATGGAGAATTTTTGTGTTTGTAACAATATAATTCTTTCTGCACAACTTGTATCAAAACGACATGTACAAAGAAGCATCATTAGCATAAACAACTAACAGAATGAAGATTAAAAAAAGTAATTTTAGACTGGTCACATTTAACTTTTAAAAATGATAAATAGTTTGAGGCACAACCCTCCATATTATGACATTTGTTAAAAAACAAATACGATGGGTTATTAATAATACTGCTTTTGCATATCTCCAGTCAATAGTTATCACTACATTTTAATTAAACTATTTTTCTATTTATAAACCAACAAAAAAGAATTATATAAGTCTAACCTATAATTTATTACAATTTGATATATTTATATTTATATATAGCATTATATACAAATTTCGGAAAGATGTCTTCTCTATTATCCTTTTCCATACACTCCACTGTATGGGTTATAGAAACCTAATCCTGGATGTCCTAAGGGAGGTAAAGGAGCTGAAGACAAAGGGGATAGTCCAGGAGGTTTATAGGGATGATATCTCCCAGCTGCAGATAATGAGCTGACAGGACTCAGACTGGTTGGGTAGGTCCTTCTAAGGCCAGCCGGAGTTGTGAGAGAAGGGGTGGTGTACAAGCCACAAGCATCCATGGCAAGAGCCGAAGGAAGGCTGACCCCAGAAGAGTAAAGAGGCAAAGCCCCAGTTGTTCCAGAAAGACTGGTGTGAGTCCTCAAATGTTGAAGAAGTTCTTCAGATGATGCAAATCGTTTACCACAGTAAGTGTCACCAACCATCCAACTACAAACGTTAGGCCTCGGGAGAACAGATGATGCAAAAGCAGAAGAAGCAGGGCTAGCAAACCCGGGTACCGGATATCCGGGTAAACCACCAGGGTACAGTCCGGACATGTGAGCAGCTAACCGATCTTGCGCATATGGTAACTGAGCAGCAAGTTGGCAGTTGGTACAATAGGGATCACGGCAAACGGGTACGAACGTCGCGGCGCCCCCAGCCGCGGCACTCTTCATCCGGGCATAGTTCATGTAAGGCGTGAGGGCGGACCCGAAAGAATAGCCGGCGCCCTTTAAAGCTCCGGCAAGTGGATAGGTAGCAGCAGCATCAAGAGGGATGTGACCAGCAACAGGGCTACAACCGGAACAGTTAGCCAGAGCAAGAGGATTCAATCCATTCAAACCAGCTTTATAATTGCCAAGTCCACCAAGAGAACTCGTGGAGCTTCCTTCCTTGCTGCTTAGTAAGCCCCCACTGCTATCCCTCGAAAAGTCAAGTCCAAGCGAGGAGGAACTATAAACAGGGTCACTGGATGAGCCACTTCCAGGAGGTCCAGAAGACGATAACGTCGTCGACTGGTGAGAATCGTGACTAGAAGAGGTTGCTGTGCCTGCTGCTGAGGACGTTGGCGTTTTTTCACCTCCAGATTTCGGTCTGTGGTGCAAACCACTGTCTGGTGAATGCACGCTAGCAGGAGTTGTCCTTCGTTCTACAGAGGACCGTCCCATTAACGGAGATGATCTGCATTCTGAAGGAGTGTTCCTTTTAGAACTGCTTCCAAAAGCGGAGGTCTCTTCGCCTCTAGATGTTCTATTAGAACTAGTCAGAGAGGATGCAGAATGAACACTTGTTGCTGGACTGCAGGACAGCACATCCTTCTCCTTAGTTACTCGGATTTCGTCACTGCTGCTGCTACTGCTACTGTTGCTGTTATTGCTGCCAGCATTACTGTTCTTGTCAGAAGAGGAGGATTTAGTAGTCGGCTTTTCAGCGCCGATGTTACTGCAGATCTGCACCAAAAGAGCCAAAGGACTGGTTTTGCAGTCAGACTGAAAAAAAAAAAAAAAAAAAAAAAAAAAAAAATAGTATTTAGAAACCAGAATGCATAGATATTTTTAACAAATTAATTTTTACAAAAAATAATCTATCATTTCATTATCAGCCTCTTTTCAACTTCAAATAGTAAATACTAAATAAACACGGAATTTAAGAACTTAAATAAATGCAGATTTAGGATTACATAACCTATTGCACAGAGGAGTAAACTTTGAAATAATAAACAAAAGGTGACGCTTCCAAGATCCATTTCAGAATTCTACAATTTCGTGATTTGAGAACACCCAAATTTTTGTACCATGTTTTCTGATGCCATTTAATCTGATTAGATATAGAAAGAAAAAAATAAACGACTAGTTTTATTGTGTGATTAAGGTACGTTGCGAATGAAACATAAAAAAAGCATATCAAAAGGCAATAAAAAATTATGATCAGATTTCTTTTATTTTGAAGGTTCATAATTGTCTGTTCCTTTTTTCACTTTTCCTGAGAAAATCGCTTGCATCTTATAACACAGCTAATACTGCTGCAATACAATTTATTATTAATATCCGTTAAAGATTTCAGATTCAGATTTACGCAATGCGTATATAGACGTATAGAATTTACTATCTTTATTCCCTTTCTGCCACCTTCTTAAACCAAACAAATCTTTCATAAAAGTAAACATAACTCCTACTTTTGTTTAGTTAATGTAAAACGAAAGAGAATAAAACTGAGTGTCACTAATTAGAAATTTATGTACCTCGATCTATATAGAAACATTAGTAAACGTATATACACACCCCTAACAGCTTTCCTACAACAATGGAAGGAACTTGCAGCAGCTGTGGCTATTGACAGGCCACAGTAAATCGAACGCAGGGATTTGACTAGCTGCATACTACCATCTCTCGTAATTTCAGAACAGCAAGTCTCCATCCAATACAGCAGAGGATTACAAAAGTAATATTTTATTATAACTACACATAAGCACAAATTCCGCTCTTTTATTTATTTATTTATTATTTTTTTCTTTTGAAAAAGCGTAATCGATAAGAAGTGACCAAAATTATGGCGGATAAGCGTTTTGCTATGAACTCGATTTCTCAACGCTGTCAAATATGTCGAGGGTGTTTCCTTTTTCTTTCTGGTATTGACTTGGGTTTTTTTAGGAGGGAAGGGGGGCAAATAAAGCTACAAAGTTATGGTCTAACAAGAGAGTTATTGGATTTATCTGACAACGATAACAACGGCAGAACGTTTTCCGATGCAGAATCAGCGTAATTTCTGTATGTCGGCCCACAACGGACAGCGTGGTAAATTTTTTAGTTCCAGAAATATCCCACTCCCCTTCGTTTATAAAGCTATGAGTGTCTCAATATTGACTAATACGTGACGGGAATTGAATTCTGGGTGAGTGAGAAACTACGCTGAACTTCTTTTACCATTCTCCAAGAGCAATTTTTTGGTTTTAAACGAGAGTTCAGTTTTGTTGAATGAAACAGTGTGGCAAAATGACTTCTCCAAACTTCAAGTATTAAAATATGATGCAACTTTAAAAGGGGGAGTATATAAGGTATTTCTCCGGGTTTCTTAGCAGGCCTTTGTGGTGTAGTGGTCAGCACACTCGGTGCGTATTCGAGAGGTCCGTGGTTCGAGTCCAGGCGAGAGCATTGCTCATTTTTTACGTCTCTTGCTTCGAACTAACCTAATGTCTCTACAAACATGCGTGCTTCTATAATTAAATTCGATTATATATGCACAATATGTACACACACAAACTATGTTCACGAAATTCGTTGCTGAAGATAGTTCGTCTTAATAAAAATTCATGAACCGAAACAATTTCCTCCACAGGAAATGTAAAAAGAGTTAATACGCTGCCGAATCTTAAATGATTGCTTAGAAAAGAGTATTCTCTACGTAATATCGCAGGAAATCCTTAGTAAAAATATCAAGCAGCTGCTGAATTTCTGAGTTTTTTTTTTTTTTTTTTTCTTTCCTCTTAACACCGTTTCTCTCTACTTGAGAATCGCTTAATGCTTGTCCCATTAAAAATTTGTACACTGCGATTTGTTTCTGTCTTATGTTTTAAAACGTTCCTAACGTAAGGCTACAAATATTGCACCAATTTTGCAGATGTTCCTCGGATCAAATAATTAGGAACATTCTAACTAACATTTTCATTTCCATCTCCTTTTTCTGAAGACATTTCCTCCACTGCATTACCTGCATTCCGGAATATCATTTATTGCCGCCTTACTTGTTCGTATATCGCGTTCTTCATTCAAGGCATTTTTCGATCTGAAATTTTGTTCGTGGATTTGTTCTATTTGTAGTCACACAATTTTAATACAATTTAATAAAGCATTTAAAGTAGGTAGCTATGAAAATTAAATATAGTTACGATATGTAGTTAAAGAATACATTTTTTTATCCATAACAATAAAAACCACATTAAATGGAAGTGCTTAGTGTCTTCAATAATAAATCATTTATATAAAAACAAACTTATCTACCAATAAAATTCCTTCCGTTTATTGATCATAATTATATATTTCCTTTAATTATAATTAGTCAATAATAATTATTTATTATTACTTGTTAAATTATTTAACAAGAAAAATCATACTTTTCATAGGCCATAGAGAAAAAACACTCAATATGCCTTGTAAAGTTTAGAACAAGAAAGAAAAAAGTAACGCCTGAATTGTGACAACTGGCATGACATCGTAACATATAAATAACCATGGAAACAATGTACTAAAGAACACAACCGTTGCTGACAAAATAATATAGCATCGGAAAGCAGACATTTCGCAGTGAACTGACAACCTGCGTAAAAAATGCTTTGATATAAAGCTTTTGCAATCCTTTAAAATAAACTTACATGTCTTTCACTGTGCCAATAGTTTAACAGCCTTTTTTTTAGTAATAATAATAAAACTCTGAAGAAAAACCATTTGATACGAAAATTTTTAGAGATATAAAATAAAATAATAAGAAAAACATATTCAAGGGTTCTGAATTAAAGATTAAGAAATAGAAGAAAGTAAATAAATAAATAAAAAGGAAATACAAAATGATAAAATGATGGACTGCTCTTCTCCGCCTCCCTTCAAGAGGGAATAACATAAACGTTAAATAAAAGTTTTTAATCTTACACAAATTTCTCATACCCAATTAAAAGCAAACACTGAACTGCCTTCGCATCATGAAACACAAAATGAGTTTTTTGATCCAAAAATTCTCGCTTCTAGGTATTTTGCAACAAAAATTTCGTTGCGTAAATTATATTCGAAAATCCACAAAATTTCAAATGAATATTAATTTTTTGTTTGCACTATACTGTTGGTTAAAAAATCAGTTTTATGTTAAAGTGGTATAACAACCATAATTAAATGTACCCAAAATGTTAAAACACACAGCGATACAGATAAAGAATCAGATAATAGAGATAGGCAATGTCATTACTCTGGTACAATGAAGACATCAGAATTGCTGGCATGGTAGCAGCTGGTTTGTACCTCATGGTTATAACAAGCAGGAGGGAATTGTGTCCACAGTGTAAAATCTTTCACTCTGACTTATGATAACAAGAAAGTAAGTCGTATTTATGTTATGATTAGATGACACTCCCTTTGGATTTCATGCAATTTCTATCTTTAAGTTGTATCTCGTACTAGGCATGACATAGCTACATAGCAAGTGTCAAGACTGAGCCCCACCTATACTTTTGTTTCGGCTATTGAGATATATGCCACTAATCAACATGTGTTAATAAGGCATTGTCTAGCACGAGCAGAGATATCAATGTCTCAACCTATACAAGTTGATTAGTTTAACAGGTTACATAGAACAGGGAGATAAAAAAGACACACCCACACACTTTTTCAGCTCTTAACGACTGAAATATGCCATGCAGTAATAATGCATATGCATGATAAGACACTGATTGAAGCAGGAGTGACTACATTACATTACCAAGAACCACTTATAATATCAATGACGGAATAAAGCACTGAGCATCAAACAAATTGTCTAATATTTAATACGCGTTCATTAATTTTGGAAGCTAATATGCTTGGGACTACATACAACTCGGGTGGCAAAAGGATGCTATGATACAAATACTTCAACTGTGATTTAAAACAAATTATTAAGTAATGAATAATAAAGAATAATTCTTTTTAAATGACGGGCACTAGCCGTTTTTAGGCTTTCACCACTAAGAAGGCGAGAAGTGGTGGTCATTTTATTATGGAGGCACCTAAGAGGCGGCCACCTTTACCTCCTACGACAACTCATATCCATGCCCTCTCCGAGATTCGAACAAAAAAAAAACAAAAAAAAAAACCCTTTGGTTTCGCAGTCAAGCTCCCCTAACCACTATAACGTCTGCGAGGCTGTAAATAATGAATAAGAACAACTAATCTTTTAACTAATTTGATGACAACTTTCAAGTTTCAGTAGCGGAGATAATATTTTCGGCGAAAATCATCTGTTTATTTTTCATAATATTATGGTGTTTTCTTTATTCCACTCTGTGGCACCACGAAATTTGGAACTAAGCGTAAATATTCATTTCGCATTTTATCAAATCTGATGCTGAATTTGTTCTACTATTATGTTAATCATGAACAAAATGTAAGCTATTATTTTAGTAGTACAATAGCTCATGCTTAGTGTTAAGATATTTTAACACATATGAAAACAATATTTTGTATGCTGCAGGAAGTTCTATAGTAACTACGCGAAGTGCAAGCTAGATATCAATTAACCATTACCATGCCTTCGAAGAAAACCCACATTTATTCCGTCTTAACGCCCTTGATATTCTGAGTCAAAGATAGCACAAGACGCACAGCAACCAGTTGCGAGCTGTTTGTCATCGTGATAGGATGATGGGTGGCTTGTTGAAAGGACACCAATATGGTAACATCCAATTTCTCTAACACAGTCAGCATAAAAATTCAAGGCACCCCTTGTCAACTTTCTATTTTCAGCTCAA